CAACATGGCTTCCAGCTTCTATCACTCTATGGTACCACAGCCCACTTTTGTGCCTCCTGCTCAGAACACTGTTCAACAAGAATCTCCAAAAGAGAAGAAGAAGAGAACTAGGAATCCAGAGAATTGGAAGAAAGAGAAAAGAAAACGTGCAATATTGTCAGGTCAGGCCTACGTGAACACGAAAGGCGAGTTGGTAGGTCCTCGCGCTATAGGCCCTGATTGTAACTGCAAGAATAAATGTTTTACGGTCGTGTCTGATGACAATCGGAACGCGATATTCAACGGATATTACTCTTTAAACAGGTAATACTTAGTTTCTTTTATTGTAAAACTTTTATTTCTACGAACAGGGAATTAGAAATGGGAACCTATTCGAGATATGTTGGTGATGCCAGTGGTTCTCATACTAGATATTCTCTTATATTATATCCGTTTGGAAGAATAGTATGATATCATCAGTGACAGAATGTTGGGTTGTAGATGGCTATGACAAGTTATGAAATGGGTAATTTATTAGGATGCATTTCTGATGCTGTCAGTATCAGTACTAATGGATTGCTCATTACTTATACTCTCCATACACAGTTGTCAGTATTGGATGACCTGGAAGTATATTAGTGTATATAGGAAATAAGGACCAGTCTTGGTAAATTTTTATTATTACATTGGGAATGCCTACCTCAAATATTATGCTGAATTGTTTAAGACATCTGTCTAAAAAATTCCTTTCTTTAAACATTTGGTTTAAGCTTATACTAACCCTTGGATCCAGGTGCTTTGCTGTCCACAAATGGCCCGAAATCTAGCCAGTGGCCTTACTTAAATGGTCACTCGTGGATGTATGTTTTGTAGACTGGTTGCGCATGAGACTCATGTGTGAAGTCAAGACACGTTACCTCCTATTGCAATGATATTTTCTGTTTTAAAATAAACATTTTTTGTTATTTTGCAATTTTCCAATGTCTATATTTGTCATTTTATATACAGCATCTAGATGGTAAAAGACTGTTTCCTTGCCGAAGTGTATATATAGTTATGAATCAGCTATGTTCGAGAAACACTTATTTTGCTGTAGTATGCTCTGATTGGCTGGGAAGTCCAAGCATTTGCAGCATTATGCTTGCTGTGATTGGTTGTTTAGGTTTGTTGAGGTTCGGTGAGGTTAAATAACTGCCTAGTGTTTGCAGTTAAAAAATGGCAAAATAGTCAGTCTAACAGCAATGCCTTGCATAGTAACTGCATGTGGTGCCCCCTATATATAATGTCATGGTCATTGGCCAATCAGAGCGCTTCATGGCAGGATATGTGTCCTGAATGTTGCCAGTTCATGGCACTATTTCAGCTGCCTTTCCTTGCACAAACTCCATATATATATCATTTCTCAAAGTAGTTCATAACTTGGACTTGGTAATTGTTTTGAATATCTTAATGTAATTGATCTTGATGATTTTGGTATCGGTGGATTCCTCTCACTCTCTACTATTCAGGTGTACCAAAATTATGCTGCCGAACCCCCCTCCCAATCCTCATATTCTTGGCCCCCATAGCAAGGGATTGCATGAAAGGTACCAGGGAAGTAATAATGTTGGAAAAATAAAGATGATAGAAGAATACAGTAAAGATAATAACTAACTATGCTGTTGAATGCAATTGTCTGCGCCCCTGTGACCCCCTTGGGTGGCTACCACCCCTAACCCCCTGCACAGCAAAGAATCTAATATGTATTCATGACAGAAGTGAGCATACATCCTACATGTGGGTAGAAGAAGTCAAGATATAACCTAGGAATTTTTAGTTACTAACCTGATTAGTAAATGCCGCTGAGTTGTGAAGGTACTCAGCAGAGTGGGGGATGGAGCCACAGGGTTCTCTCATGCTCCATCCTGCCATACACACAGGGTGGGTTCTTTGTTTTCCAGGATAGGGGTTCGGGTACTGTCCCTTATATTACACCATGCTGTGACTTATTCATTGTATATTACTCTAGTTATTTATTTTCTGTATTCTGTTCATATTTCACTCTGCAGTTTCCCTGGTGTCTTTCATGCCCTCCTCTGCTATCAGGGCCAAGAATGTAGGGGTTGGGGAATGGTTCCATGGGGTAATTTTGATATATTCAGGTTGTGGAGAGTGAAAGGAATCCATCAAAACCAAAATAATTGAGATTGGTTATGTGAAGGTATTCAGAATATTTTCCCAGTCAACTGATGACAAGGTAATTCTTTACAGTAAGATTTATTCATCAGTCTAAGTTGCTGTGACTGGGCATGCCCTGGGGGTTGCCCAACATACCCAGGAAACATTGTCTTCACCTCAGTATACATGGCAAGGTAGAGCTGAAACTCACGAGCACCTTCTGGACTTAGGCTGAGAGTGGCAATATCCGTGATATTTTTTCCTTTATTCATGGTATAACTTTTCGTGTCTGCAGATTATTTCTTGTACTGACAACTGCAACTTTTTGTCCTCTACAAGAATATCATATTCAATTTACCGTAACATAGTGTATCCACACCATAAAGATTAACTGATAATAATTATGATCATTTTAATTTTTATGTCATTGAATTTTTTCTTTTAATGTTCAGTTTTCGTAGTACAACTTGCACTGTCGGTCATAGTGGGTAGGAATAGAAACTTGAGCATGGAAATAGTGACCTCTCTGGAGCTGGTACTCTTCAATTCACATTTTTTCATGACTTGATGGTCACATCATCTGGATCCGAAAGGACTAATCACACTATTTAATAAAAAAGATTTTTTCATAGGCAGATGTTACCTATGGCTAGGGAACATACATGGGGTGAGGTGAGGTGGTGTGGTTAGCTAAGGTAAGGCTAAGTTAGGGTTAGTTAGACTTAAGTTAGTTAAGGGTAGGCCATGCTAGACCATATTTGGCTAGGTTAGGTAAGTTTGCTTAAAAACTGTGAGTTACAGCAACTTTCTCAGCAAAACGTGAGCCCATGCTCTCATCTAAACGCCCCATACATTGTTGCATGACCATGGAAACAACAACAATTAGAAAGAAATATGGGGGAAACAGAGAATTTAGGCTTGAATAGTGTCACTAGAATACATTTACAGAAGAATGTTTATAGATATTAATAGATATTATTATCCAGCATGATAATTGAAATCGGTGTACCCAGTGTATTAACCAGTTGCCTCCAGGGATGGCATGTGCGTATATGCCATGCCCACTGTGTGTTTAATTTAGTAATTGTTTTTACATATAGACAGATGGCTCCATAAGTACTGTCACCAATGAGCAGTTACAAGAACTACCTGTTTCACCTGTTTGACCCTTTTCCTTGATTTTTTATAATATTCTCTAGTATTTGATACAGCTGTTATGTCAATAACAATATAGTAATTATAATGTTTATAACAAAAATAACAATGTCATATTGATAGCATTAGTATAAAAAGTGTTTTCCCGCTATTTCAATGAAAGGTGAGGTCACAAAATCTACTAATAAATTCCTTTGTGACAAAACACTGGCAGAGCCATCTATATACAGAAACATTTAACAAAACAATACTAAAGTGAGCACATTTTCCTATTGGCTTTGGGTTAAAAAGAAATTGACCCCAGTCCATGCGCTATCTTGCAAGTAATAGTGAGTAGAGGTTTGTTAGCCCTTGCACTAAATGTGGAAGCTATGGTAATTCCTTCATGTCACTTTTGGGTTAGATTCAGATCACAGATCACAACAAGCTTGAAGTAGATTTGGATAGAACACAGCCAAGGGAACTGGCTGTTAAAAAATAGTCCTGACTTAGAAGCTACTCCAATCACCTAGATATATACCAGACAAAGATTTCTATACCTAGCTTCCGATACAAAATATAAATCCTTTGCAGTCCATTGGTATCAAGATTCCTATTTTGCCACTTCTTGGCAAAGTAGACATAAAGATTTGACACATGCTTCCATTGAAATCAAGGGATTTCTCACTCAAAAATAGAAAAAGTGGGGTATTTAAAGTAACATACTTCTTTTAATCATTGTGAGATAACTTCCGAAGTTAATGAAGAGAAAGATCTGTGATGTCTGAAACTCCACTAACAAGACAAATTTTTGTTTTGTAAGATGGTGGTATCATAGAAATGATTGTCAGAATGATACTATTTGAAATATTATGAACTAACTGCCTGTGAAAGAGTAGAGGATCTTGTATTTTTAAACAATAATTTGCTTAATGGAATTTCTCTTTTATAAATGTAAAGTGTAGCTAATTTATTGACATGACAAGAAAAGTGTTATATATCAATTCTTGTAAATGTGCCATTATTTTCTCAATTTTCTTTATTTTTATTAGTATTCTGGTAATATGATAATCATAAGGTCATTGATAATGGTGATAACAGTAACAAAAGATAGCATCAGAAAAAAATCCAGAAAATCCAAGGAATGGGAAAATTAGGTACAGCAACTTAGGCTGTCTAATTGACTTCTAGGTGACTGAGTACCTGTGGAGCCATCTGTGTGTAATGGAATTCATGAGAAATAAATGCAATAGATATTACATAGGCCTATCCATGACTGATAAGTTAACACTCCCATTTAAGAATTAGTATTTTGTTGTTATTTGATAATTTCTTTAAACATATTGTACACAAAAGTTTCCAAAGTAAATTAAAATCAGTAGAGGCAATAAAAAAGTTGGATTCCTCTGGTAGATTTTAAGTATGTCATTTAGGCATAGAGCTTATGTTTGATTTGTTTTGGGCAGCTGTAAAATGAAGTAAATTCATGGGGTAGGTGTGAGTCAGTAAAAGAGTGAGCAGAAAGGACTTATATTTAGAGTGCTTTCACTGAAAAAAGGTTAAGGATAACTGGCTTAGACTTTTCACAATGTCTTTCATGTGTGAACTGGGCAGTCTGTTTACAATAATGAAATATTTCCCGCTCTTTTTCAGTTATGATGAGCAAAATGCTTACCTATATGGACTTATACGTAGACATGATATTCAGAGGAAACGTAAGCCTGTGTCGGAGAGAAGAACTTGCTCATATAAGTATTATGTTCGAATTAAAGGAAAGGAACTTCAGGTAAATCATGATTGCACTTGATTTATTCAAATTATATTATATTACGCATGCACACGTGCACACACACATATGCATGTACGTACTCACATGCACGCATGCACACAAACATGCACACATACATTCGTGCATGCATGCATACATAAATACATACATACATACATACATACATACATACATACATACATACACATACATACATATACATACATACATACATACATACATACATACATACATACATACATATATACATACATGCATACATACATATACATACATGCATGCATTTATACATACATACATACATATGTACATACATGCATGTATATATTTGTACATTCATATACATACATACATATATACATATATATTTATATACACACATACATACGAACTTATTGATATAGATTTGTATATATATATATATATATATATATATATATATATATATATATATATATATATATATATATATATATATATATATATATATATATGATGAATTTGTTTTATGATTTTCATATTTTATATATTTTCTTTTGTTTATGGTTGTACAATTTGTTTTTAAAAGGAAAATTTTTGTCCTAATAATTACTATTGTTTCAGGTATGCAAGAAGGCTTTTGCTAATATCCATGGGATCTCTGATAAAAAGATTAGAACACTCTGCATCAAGCATGAGCAAAATATTCTCTTTCCAAGAGATAATAGAGGTAGACACAAAAATCGACCCAAAAAGGTACGTAGTCTTTACGTCTTAGTAATTATTTTCCTGTAGAACTTGAACATTTATAGATTGGATAAGGATTTTGAATACAGACATCCCTCACTATATGATCAGTTGATCTATGACTAATAGATTATAAAATATGGGGTTGGTTTGGATTGTATGTTCACTACACTATACAGTGCTGAGTGAACCTATCTGTGCCTTCCTCAGTCTTTGTTTGCATCTGAAAATGTACTTTCTTTATAGCTTTGAAGTGTTTGTGTTTGATCTGTGTAGTTTCATGTGGTTCTGGTACTGTATTAGTGATGACCCCCAATGTTTGGGCAGTGTATGCAATAGCCCAGAGAAGAAGGGGAAAGCCTTGTGTTGTGAGTGGGGTGATATGTCATTTGTTCACTTCTCTTCCAGCCCTCTTTTTTCTTCTTCTTCTTCTTCTTCTTCTTGTTTTTCCTTTCTTTCTTTCTTTCTTTCTTTCTTTCTTTCTTTCTTCTTCCCAGATCATTATTTTTGTTTTGTATAGATAACTATTGTAAATAAGTGGTCTTGAGTTGTTTTGAGGCTCATTTATGATGAACCTTCTATTGTTGTTGAGTAGCCTGTTAATGTAGTCTGATCTTATGGCAAGGGATGACTGTATTTTGTAAGTGATAATGTAATAGCTGCTATATTTTCCTTTATTATTGTTTGGCATTTCTGCAGTCATCACTCCTCAGCTTAAGGTTTATGTATTTCCTGAATGTGGTTTGACAATCATCTTGTTTTGAATTATTTATATAATTCAGTAACCAATCATCCTTTTAACAGGTCACACCAGAGTTGGTGACGCTCATCAAACACCATATCCTGAAGATGCTTTCTGGGCCAAATGGCAGTGATTTCATTAAGACTGATAAGAACCAAGGTCCTGACGTCAACATTTCTAAACTTCATAAGAATTTCCTCCAGCAGTATGAGCCAGAAGCAATAGATCCTGAGAGTGGTAAGTTCAACTGCACAGATTTTAACTTTATTAGGCTGGGCCTACAAGCCACACACATAGGGGAGGTTTTACTGAAGTAAACCATATAGAGGCAGCAAGGATAGTATGAGTTAAGTGGAATGGCAATGGTGTCGGTATTAAATCCTATGATGTGTACATTTTTATTCCAAATAATTCCATTGTCATCTTACTGGTTGCACTCAGTACTATTTCTTCAACATTGGAACTGCTTGTTGGTAATATAAAAAGTAGTCTATGCAGAAGGTGTCCACAGCATCCTCCATTTTTAGTGGACCCACAAAAATATAGCATCCACTCTCCAGTAAAAAGCCCTTGTCCCAGGGGCCTAATTTTATCACTTTAAAGTATCGGTTTAGTAAACTTCAGAAACTTTGAATGTTAGATTTACTTATTGTAGTATTTGTTGTAGCAGCAGTGAGGTTTTTACAAATTATGACATCATGTTTATTCAAGATTACTTTGAATCAGACTCACAAACATGACAGATTACTATGTTTATGTTTGTACAGGTTATAAGTTATGGTCAAAGTCTGGGTTCCATTACAGTACAGTTACACTCCCCAAGGCTAGGGGTTTCTTGGCTGGCTTTAGTTGTATTTTCTTTTTTTTTCTGCTGCACAATTATACTAATTAGTTATTCTTTCTGACTTACAGATAAAGTGATTAAGGATTATGATGCCAAGGTTAAGTCATGGTTGTACTTTAAAGTGTTCCA